TGTGTGTGTGTGTGTGTGTGTGTGTGTGTGATGTGTGTGATGTGTGTGTCATTCACTTATGAATTAACTTCATCGTTTTGCGTTTTCTTTACCATCTGCTGATATTACATCGATCGATATTGAGGTTATATTGAGGTCAAGAGTTCAGTATATGGTGCATTCATCATAAGTGGTCGTTATGTGGGAGGTTATTATGTTTTTTTCTCGCTTATATGATGCAATCTTTCGTCACATTACTGTTCACCACAAATTACGTTCAAATATTTTCTTTAAATTCTTGGTAACCTTTGAATTGTAAATTCATTGCTATCATCTTGGGATGACATTTTGAACTCTGCTTTAGTTTTTTAATTACCATATTTAGTTATTTATTATCAGTAATTTTGATAATTGTTATTATTGAGTGTAAAGAATTATTATGCCTTATATATTGCTATATTAATAGACAATCATAAGTGATATGATCATATTACATTTTCATATTTTGCTATTAGTAATTTCGTTTATGGTTATAATTATTTTATCCTGCATATTATTATATTAACAGATTACTATAAATGGCATACTATTGTAATTTCTTTTATATTTGTGATTGCTGTAATTGATTACGGTTATATTAACTATTTGTTTTAGCAATTATCAATCAACGGAACAAAAAAAGTAAATAAGCAAAATAAATTTTCTAAATAGTTCAGTAAAGCTTTCAAACAGTCCCAGGCTAATTATTGTTTACGGTATTTAATGGATTAAAAAAAAACAGATACCCATTTGTTAGCAAGGGCCGCGTAATATATTATCTGTCGAGAATTGGCGTCGTTTGTTTGTTTTTCTATTAATTGACTCGTCATTAATTAGTTTCTTTTGTTTTGCTTCGGCTTTTAGATTGTTTTTAGCTTATTGGATAATTTCTCGATGTTTTTATTATTTCCCGATTGTGTCATCAGGATATAACGGGATTTACTTTTATCGCTGCATTATTTTGTTATTTATTTCTTACCATTTTTGTTTCTTTTTTTGACAAATTCATATCTTTGGATAAATGTACAAATTTATTTCTTTGAGATAAAGACACTTTATACATAAAATTAGCAAAAAAGGAAATGAATGAAATTATCAATTTTTATAAAACAAATAAAAAAGATGTTACTGGAAAAAGAAAATTTTCAAGAGATTAAGTGGAATTGATGAGCAAAAAATATAAGTCGTATTCGTTGGCATTTTAGCGAATTGAATATACTTTGGAAATCATTTTATTCTTTATAAATAATCGAGGAAATTTGAAAAAATACATATTTATGGTAATGATTGATCTTTTTTCTATTTATCTCTTTTAAGTTACAGTTCGCATGTTTTTATTATTATTATGTCGATTTCTTATTTTTGTAATTATCGTTTTTAGATTTTGCACATCGTATTCGACAATTTCAGACAAATTTGCTGCTAATTGCAGCTTTGGGATATGGAGTTTGCATTCGATGTGGAGCATTTGGATATTTAGTCTACTTACAGTTTCTGCAAGTCATTTTGTTTTTATTTCAAATAAGCAAATTCTATTCGATAATTTCATATAATGTAAAATTTAAGCCAGTTATATTGTACGTAAATTAATCTTCAATCCTGGCAACATAATTCATCTTCAAACATTCTTTAATGCTTATACTTTGCAAATCGAAATTTTTTTGTCAAATGTGGTAAGAAACATGATTTCAGTATCTTTCCTCCGATATGAGTCTGAAAATTTTCAAAATCTGCATATTATAAAAATTGTTTCTTATATGGTTTTTCCTACATGTTTCTAGATATAAACATATACATTTTAGTTATCTGCTCATGATGATGTGTATTGCCGTTCACTGGACATTCGGAACAGTCCGAATATGGCATTTCAAGACAAGGAAACGAATGAGAAATGGTCAACTTTAGCTAATTGTACGGTAATGGAGGGTGATTTTTCGGTTTCGATGATTACAAGTTCAAATTTTACCCATGAAAATTTTCCAGTCTTCAGTCGCTTACGCGTTATTACAGGGCATTTGTTAATATTCCAAGTGAGGTTGGTATACTTTTTTCTTTATTGCTAATTATTTTTGCAGCAACATTTGTCATAAAGAAATTCTCTTTATGGTGAGATTGATTTTAATTATAAATGGTGAATATTTAGTGCTCTTCGATCGCTGAAACGAATATTTCCTAATCTGCGCATTATTGGTGGACAAGAATTAATCATGAATTATGCACTTGTGATATATCAGAATACACATTTGGTAGAAATTGGCCTACCAAAGCTGACAACAATTATCAATGGTGGTGTACGAATTATGGATAATACCCAACTCTGTTACAGTCGATATATCGACTGGAGTCAAATACTAATCGGACCCGCTAATGATATTCTAACTGATCAAAACAAAGGAACCGATTCTGGTAAAAAAGAAAAATTTTACCTCATTATTCATACGTAAACAATTTCATTCGCAAATAATTTTATCATTAATAAACTGATGATTATTGTCATTGATTAATCACAATTGTTTGATGCCATATAATACTGTCATCATTAATACTGTTATTATTATTAACGTCATTATTATTATTATTAACGTCATTATTATTATCATTACCATTACTGTTACTATTACTATTACTATTACTATTACTATTACTATT